ACAAGCACACAGAGCTGTTCGGCAAAGACTGGGAGATTTATTGGTTTTAGTGTTTAGGAGATCTCTGTCCAGTCCTCAGCTGATCACTAAGCTAACTGAGTAGAGACTTCAGTAGCCACAGACCAGAAAGAATACAGACAACAAACCCCAGAGGGAGGAGAATTAGATCTCCAGAGCTGCCTCATGAAAATGTCCAGTTTTCAACAGAAAAAATATATGCAGAGAACAAGGAAGAATAACTAATAAATAGTAAGAAAAGGCAATAGTAGAAGCTGTCCCTGAGGAAGTCCAGACATTGGACTTGTTAGTTAGACAAAGACTTTAAATAAGTTTTAAAAAATATGTTCCAAGAGCTTAAGGAAACCACATCTAAATAGAAAATATCAAGAAAGTGATATAAATAAAAATGAACTAAATAAAAATTCTGGAATTGAAAAGTATAATAACAAATGAAAATTTCACTAGAGGGGCTCAAGAGCAGATTTGAGCACACAGAAGAATCAGAAAACTTGACATAGACCAATTGAAATTATCCAATTTGAGAAATAGAAAGAAGAATGAAGAAACATGAGCAGAAACCTGTGAGCCACCATCAAATATACCAACATGCATATATGGTATTCCAGGAGAAGAGGGAGAGGAAAGCAGAAAAAATGTTTTAAAAATAGCCAAATCTCCCCAAATTTAATAGAAACATGAATCTGCACATCCAAGAAGCTAAATAAACTCTAAGTAAGTTAACTCAGGTCCACACCTAGACCAACATAATCCAACTGTCAAAAAAATACACAAGAGAATCTTGAAGGAAGAAAAATGACTCATTACCCCCAAAAGGATTTGCAATAAGATTAACAGCTAATTTCCCCATCAGAAACCATGGAAACCAGAAAGACATCTGACGACATAGTCAAAGTACTGAAAGAAAAATAACCAAGAATACTATATTCAGCAAAAACTGACCTTCAAAAGTGAAGGAGAAATTAAGGCATCCCCAGGTAAACAAAGTCTAAGAAAATTTGTTGTTAGCAGACCTGTCCTTCAGGAAACACTAAAGGTGTCCTTCAAGCTGAAATGAAAAGACACTAGATCCAAAGACACAAATAAGTGTCCCTGGACTCCCTAATATCTCTCTGAGGGCACAGGGAGGAGGGGCAGAATGGGCTTCTGCCTGCACTCAAGTCACTGTCCCACTGCTGAACTTGGGGGATCAGTAGGGCTCAGATCTCCCCCTTAAAAGCGATCTCACGGCCCGACTGGTGTGGCTCAATGGTTGAGCATTGACCTATGAATGAAGAGGCCACAGTTCAATTCCTGGTCAGGGTACAGGCCCAGGTTTTGGACTCGATCCCCAGTGGAGGGCATGCAGGAGACAGCTGATCAGTGCTTCTCTCTCTCCCTCTCCCTTCCTCTCTGAAATTAGTAAAAATATATTTTTTTAAAAAGCGACCTCACGAATGCCCACTTAGCAGGAGAAAAGTGGCTCCACCTTGCATCATGTGCCTTTTTTTGTCCCCATGTCTTTGTGACCTGCCCGTTTGCCAACCTGTCCTGGCCTCTCTGTCCACTAGGACCTTGCCACACTGTTGGAGCAGATAGGGTGTCTGAAGTACCTGCAGCTGTTTGAGGAACAGGATGTGGACCTTCGAATCTTCCTGACCCTCACTGAGAGCGACCTGAAAGAAATCGGCATCACGTGAGTCCAGAGGGCCATCTGTGGCTGCGTGCCCCTTGTCTCTGGGACCGTCTGATGTTGCAGCTTTCCAGCATTTGGAGAGAGAGTTGCCTTCTCTAGAGGTCGGCTGTCTTCTCCATTCTTAGACGTAGATGGCCTGAGTCTTGTGGCTTCTCAAGTTGGCCTGGCTCAGTGCTGTATTCAGGGAACCCAGACACTTTCTGCCTGTTCACTTTTGAGAACTTTCCAAGTTGGCAAACATAGCCTGGAGCCAGCTGGCTAGTTTCCTACTTAGTGACAGCAGCAGCCCGGCTGGGAAGGGGACCAGGTGCAGGGGGGCTCCAGTGAGGTCATCACTTCTTACAACCCTTTGTTTCTGTCCTCTGGCTACTCTCCCTCTTCAAGGATCTTTCCTAGGGAAACCATGGTCTGTGGAGCTTTCAGGCACATGCAAATGCTGATCCAGGTTCTTTTCTCATTCCCCGATAGGTTGTTTGGACCCAAGAGGAAGATGACTTCTGCCATTGCCCGCTGGCACAGTAGTGCCCGCCCCCCCAGTGACGCCCTGGAGCTGGCCTATGCCGACAGGTTGGAAGCTGAGATGCAGGAGCTCGCCATCCAGCTGCACAAAGTAGGTGGGAGGCAGGGGGCGGGAGGGTACATGCAGAAATGGCAAGAGAGGTGTCTGGAGTCACACACCTGCAGAGAAGGACACAGTGATAGGACAGTGAGGGCAGAAAGCATGACAGCTCCTACCGTGAAGGGGAGATATGCAGGCAGGCCCGCAGGAAGAAGGCCCAGAAAGGTATGGGACATTCGGTGGAGGTCAGGTGGACATCCACAGGAGAGAAGAGAGAGGGTGAGGCCAGAAAACAAGAGGCTGGCGTGGACCTCAGTGGGCTCACAGGAAGGGACCCAAAGCAGGGGAGGCTCCAAGGTAGAAACAGGCCTCCCATTCCAGGAGAGAGACAGGCAGAGACAGAGGATGGGGGTGGTTCCCGGCCATGGCCTGGGGCCTGTGTCTCCTGCATCCTTGGCCCACTTGCCTGCCCCATCTGCCGGCCTGCCAGCCCCACCTCCCACCTCTCCCTCTCCAGCGCTGTGAGGAGGTGGAGGCCATGCGGGGCCAGGTATCCCAGGAGCAGGAGCTGCGGGCTGTGGTGGAGAGCTGCCTCCTGGAGCAGGACAGCACCCGCAAGGACATCCTTGCCCAGCTGCAGGAGACCTGGGCCCTGGCCCAGGATGCTGCTCTCATCCTGGACCAGCTACAGTGAGTAGGCACCTGAGTTGATCGAGTTCCCTCCAGATTCTTCAATCAAGGATTTGCTTTCAGGGCCTCCTGAGTCACTCCTTGTCTCCCCACCCCCTGCCCCATTTCATTCTAGCTGTTCCTCCCTACAATGTAGACCAGGCAGAAGTAGGGCCATGAAAATCTGCATACCCTACACAAGCTCTCTGCCTTCACTCGGGCAAGAGCTTGTCAGTGTGGGTGGGTGCGGGGGTGCTTGCCAAGCCCAGGAAGGTGGGCTGTGGGGACACTCGAAAGTGGGGATGTCTGCCGTCCCCTGCCCTCTGGGACCATGGAAGGCAGTTGCCAGGCTTTCCCCTTACCAGCACTTGGTCTTGTGTTCTGCAGAGCCTGTCAGGCTGAGCTGTCAGCCCGAGTGAAGCAAGACGAGTCCCTTCTGGGGGCCACCCTAGGCCCAGCCCTCCCTACAGCTGGTAAGGAGAGCAGTGTCCTGGGCCAGAACTGGGCAGAGATGCCTCCTCAGGCTGGGTTTTACCACGTCTTGATGGTTATCACATTTACACTCCCAGGTCCCCTTGCAAACACAATCCCAGACTCTAGGGTGAGGGCACCCTGCCCTCCTCAGCCCATTTCCTTAATGTCCTTCCTGGTGGTTGGAGGCAAAGCCCTTGGGCCATTGTGACTGTGCTATCCAAGACCTCAAGAGACTTCTGCAGGCTCCAATTGGAGCCTGGGCTGGGTCCACCCCAGGGCGTAGCCTCATGGGAGGCCAGTGATCCCCCCCACACTTCATTCCTGGGGCCAGGCCCTGACCAGCAGTTACTGCTTTGGGTAAGCAAGCAGAACCTATTTTGATGTAACAAGGGGGTCACACAGGCACTGACAATTGGGTGGGACTCTTGGTCACAACAGTTCAGGACAGAGGCAGGGCCTGTGAGCACACAGACCCCAGGCTCACCCAGCCTTCTGCCCCATAGACTCCAAAGGCTGGCAGGCCTCCCTGCAGGCCCTGAGCCTCCCCCAGCTGTCGGGAGCATTGGAGGACCGAGTCCATGAGATGGGTGAGTCTCTGGGAGGGCAGCCAGTGACCCTCGCCCCCGCCCAGGGACCAGACAGGAGTAACAGGAAGAGCCCTTAAGTTTAGACCCCTAGGGCAGCCCCACTACAATCTACTGACCTTCCAGGTCATCCATTCCTAGTGCCCCCCGAGGCACCCCTTCTTCCCACTGCTGCCCACACTTGCAAAGCAGACTCTATTCCCATCTTCAGGGCGAGTGCTGTGCTCGGTGACCCAGGGCCTGGAGAAGCTGCAAACGCTGAATGGGAAAGAGAACTGGCGGGAGCCTTAGTCTGAGGGATGGTGAGTATCAGCCCAGGACCCAATCTGGGACAGCAGGGTCCACTGGGAGCTGAGCGAACGCCCACTTCAGTCCTCCCTTTTCCTTCTCAGAATCTGACGTTGGGTGACTGATCCACCCTGAAGCTGTGTGCCCGGAAGACAGGAGGGCAGTGAGTGGGCAGTTGCAGCAGCCCAGGTCCCAGCTGGGGCCAGAGGATCGGCCCTCGGGAGCAGCTGGCAGAGAGACAGGACCAGGCTGTGGCTGGTGCCAGGCAGCAAGGCCCCCACAGAAGCAGGACGAGGGCCTTGCCCTGAACCTGGTGGTAAGGCCCAGAGCAGACAGGACCTTGGGGAGAGAGCGTGTCCCCATATACCACAGGTGCCACACTCAGATTTGCCCTGATGGGTGAGGACGGGCATCTGGGCAGCATATGTCATTTGCTGGAAAATAAAATATAAGATCAGCTGGTGAGGGGCTCAGTTCTGGTCACACATGTAGTACTGGCTAACATAGCAAAGCAAGGGGAAAGCCATGCCAGGACCCCCAGCTCCAGTGACTGGCTGGGGCCCAGGCTTCCTAGCCAGGACAGAGAATACTGTGCTTATAGGGGTGCTGACTTGGTGACCCCTCCTACCCCATGGTCCCCAGCAGCTAGGGCTTTTGCTCAGAGCCCCCATGATTCAATAGAAGCTACCTGGAGAGCCAAGCACACCCCATGCCCCAGGAAATGAGAGCGGAGCAAAGTACAGGTATTTTATTTACAGATTGGAGTGCCTTCGCCCAGTGTGGCTGCTTCATCAAGGCTCTAAGGTGGAACAGGTGCCCAGGCTGGGCAGGGAGCACCGCTTTTCTTAGGCTGGGTAGGCACTGTGGAGACTTTCCAGTAGCTTCACTGAGTTTAGCCAGACTTGGGGCCATAGGAGACTGCCAGTGGTGACCTTCCTGCCTGTGGTGGCTCTGCTGTTGTCATTCTGCACACTTGACGGGTATTTCCAGACCATCTCTGGGAGCTGCCTGTAGACCATACTGGGAATGGAGAAAAGGAGGCTTTCAAAGTACAGGAAAGAGCAGCAGGCTCAGCCTAGCGGTACAGTCACCAGGATAACAAAAGGGGCCTCTCTGGACGGTCTCAGCACAGAAGCCCAGACCAAGCTGACAGCCCAGAGAGGTCCGTGGCTGGTAGTACCACAGGTGAACAGGGAGGTGGACAGCAACCCCACCTCAGACAAGGTCTGTGACAGCGTAACTCTGAGTGGTGCCAATGCTCTTAGACTTGGCCCTGACCTTAAGTCTTAGGTAGTGAGAGAAGGAAGGGGACAACCTCCTGTGCCCTGCCTTGAGCCTGCAGTCAGGACCAAAGAATAGAGCAGCAGAGGAACCACTTTACTGTCCCTTCAACAACTCCCATCTATTAGCTGGGCCCATGACCCTGACTGCCCTTGGGGACCAAGCACCAGTGGGGTCAAGTGAAGCCTCACCCATAGTTCATACAACACAGAAAAGGAAATCTTAAGCCAGTAAAGCTAACAGCTAAAATTAACAGCACAACATCCTACCCAAACTGGCTCTCCTCTAGGCCCTGAGGCTGGCACAGAGGGCAGGATGCAGGAATGAGTCAACTGAGACAAAGACACCCCCCTTGAGAACCAAGTTCTCATTGGTCTAAGTGTCTGTGCAACTACCCACTTGGAAAATCAGGCAGTGCCTGCGCCTCCACCAGCCCATGAGACTCTCAGGTGGGTTTGAGCCTCAAGGTGGATAAGAATGTCCTGAGCCTGGACAGCCAGGCCCGCCACCCCCAGGCCACCCACTGACCAACCTGAGAAGGTCCCACCTGGCCCTGTGACTGCTTGAGGCAGCAGAGATGATAAGATGCCCACTGGCCCCATGCAGTCAGAAAGGGTTACACACACACAGAAACACGCTAGAAGACACTCCCACAGGACTTCAGGGCCCTCAGCCCTGGACACAAGCCAGGGGAGGGCAAAGACGCAGTACAGGAGCAACCTCAGGAAGAAGATGGGAGCAGCTTCTCCAGGGCCTTCTTCTGCTTCTCAGTGGCTGCAGCCACAGCTTCAGCCAGCTTTTCCTCGGGCATCATGTTGAGCACCTTGAGGGCGAAGAGGAGCTGGTACTTAGCCGTGCTGATGAAGGCATTGCTCAGGAAGTTGGGAAAGCCACCAACTCGGTCCTTCTGGGTGTACAGCGGGACCCGCACCAGTCCCAGCACCTGCACAAAAGGGGACCAGAGTTGGGGCCGGCCCCCCACACCAACAGCACAACCCTGGTAGGAGGGGCCTGTAAGCTGCTAGGCCAGGGGAAGGGAAAGCAGGTTGCCAAGGACAATGGGAGACCGCGGCAGGGTCTGGTGAGGCAGAAGCCAGCCAGCTCCTTTGGAGCAGTGCAGCCCTCTCCTGGCCACCTCATGCACTTCCCACCCTCTGCATCCTCATGTTCCAGCCTCCCACCCGCTGGCAGGAAGCCCCCCAGTCCACACCACATGCTCCCCCTTGCAGCAGGTGAATCCCCAACACAGCAACTGTCACTCCCAGCCCTTCCAGACCCTAACACCCCCAAATCACAAGAGCCCTCAACCCCTGCACCACGCAAACCCAACCTTCATTCCCAGTTCCCCTTTCTGCTCTTCAACTTCCCACCTCCTCGAGCAGGTCCCGCCCCATCCCATCCCCCCAACCAATCCCACTCCCCACCCCCAGGATTGGCAATGGCAGGCAAGGCGGATGGAACACAGCCCCGAGGGAGCCCCAGCCTCCCACCGGCACCTCAGGTCCCTCTCCCTACCCCGAGGCTGCAGTCACCCCCCCACCCAGCCCTGCCAGGGGACCCTCAGGAGGACGTGTTACCCATCGGTGCCTTCCGCAGGGCCAGAGCCAAACCCAGGGGTGGG